ATCTTTGTTCATAAAATGAAATTTTGTTGCATTACATGTTGTTTTTTTTTTTGAAATTTTGAATAAGTTTTTTTTAGGAACTTTTCATTAGTTTACAATGAAAGCTCTGTTTTGTGGTAGAGGGTTTTGGAATAAACAACCATTTTTTACCCACACTTTAAAAATTTGCCCAATTTAGCAATTTTCTTCTCTTGACTATTTATTGTAAATAATTCTCAATACTTTAACCAATTCTATGTTTATTAATTAAGCAGTGCTGTTATGGCAGTAAAGGGGGAATTGTGCAACAAAATCTTACTTTCAATGTTTTGCTGCTTTATTTGAGATAACTTTTCATGTTATTTTAAATGTTTTATTTATATTATTCAATTTTTTAGGACTTTACCATAAACCTTTTGCAATGTGGGGACATACAGAGTCTTGGATCAGCTGTGAAGGCTGGATTACCTAGTGTTGTGACTGACTGTGTGAGTATAATGACTTTATGACATACATGTTTATCCAGACTCTTGTATAAATGAGCCGTGTCACGACAAAACCAACATAGTGCGTTTGCGACCAGCATGGATCCAGACCAGCCTGCGCATCCAAACAGTCTGATCAGGATCCATGCTGTTCGTTTACCAACCCTATTACAAGTAGAGAAACTGATAACGAACAGCATGGATCCTGATCAGACTGCGCAGATGTTGGTTTTGTCGTGACACGGCTGGTCTGGATCCATGCTGGTCGCAAAAGCACTATGTTGGTTTTATCGTGACGCGACTCAAATAGCTTTTTGATCTTATTTAATTCTTCATCTGCCTATTTGAATTACAATTGATAAATAGTTTGGGGAAAAAAAACATCGAAGATTTCATCTCTGCTGTGGCTGCATTACATTTTATTTTGGAAAAAGAACATGTTTATTGTTTTACATATAAACATTTTGTTCTTCAATCAGGGCTTTTTTTCACAAGTTGGGGAAGCAGCCCAGCCCTTAATTTTGGGGAAAAATTACATGGTATATTTGCAAAAGGGGAAGAAAAAACTTGATGTAAATTCAATATTTGGGGAAAACTGCATGATTTTAAAGAAATTTTCTTTGGGGAAGCAGCCCTATACCGGCCCCTGTAATAGAGGGTAAAAAGGCCCTGTCAATGTTTGTCTTCTGATAAAGCCTCTCTGGACTTAAGTCTGTCAGGGGACATTTTCTGGCTATACTTTCAATATCCACCTTTATAATTATGTAGAGAGATTTGTGCAGTTCCATGAAATCCAAAATCAAGCTTGGTTTTATCCTATAGTTACAGTTATGAATTGTATTGTATAGTGTCCTTTATAAACCAGATCAGTCAAAATTTATTGTGCTGAATAGCGCATAAATCAAACTGAAAACTTTTTCAAGGACACATTTATATAGTTGTTAGTATTATTTAATTAAACACTACTTATTTGCTGCGGATACAAATGAGTGTATTATTTAGTTTATGCCCATGAGTTATATTTTTATAGGTAAGAATGTAAACAAGAATGCTGTAAGCCTTCAGTGATCTTTGATGTTCAACATGACATCTGTTTACCTGTGGCCTTTTCACTTGAAGAATAACTGTCATCATGAATTTATTACAAAAGCCATTTATAGCTTGATGTAACATATTTAACTACTATCTTCCTCATATCATTTCAGTCTTAGATTTTATCAAACTGGCTGGCTTTGAGATTAAGTCTTGGTCGTAAAAGAGACAAAATCAGCAAGAAATGCCAGCATGGTTTTGTTAAATTGCTAACATATCTGTGGGTTGCACAGAAGACTGAAAAAGCATTATAATGAAAGGTTAAGATGTGATGCAAACTTTAAAATGCAAAATGTTTTACATTCGACTGATACATTGAAGCTAGATTTCTCTTTTATTTACAGCTATGTGGCATATTATTCTACCAGGATGAAAGTACTGGAGAAATCTTTACAGCTGACAATTCAAATGTATGCATCTGTGCACCTAAACCAGTCTGTATCAGGTATGCTTATAATGTCCCTTTTTCAGGTCATATTGAGGATTTTAACTTATTACAGGGTCTTGCACCCAGTGTTTCCATATATTAGTAATATATTGAATGTTACGTAATAATTACATTCATAATCAAAATTCAATGAAAAAAATGACACCCTTCACAATGTGACCTCAAAGTATATTCTCAAATATAGGTGGTGTTATCAGATTTCTTAGTAATAATGCCTGTTTGATAACTTATTGTTTATATCTTAACTTATTTCATCAAGTCAGAATGCTGAGAAATAATTCCATTTTGTTGGATAAAGATAAAGATAAGCCATTCAGGTTAGTGGTTGGCAATATCCAACTACAAGGGCCCGTGCACATTTTAATTTTGCAGATATAAAACGGTGATTTTTTAGAACCACGCTGGGGCTGAAATTCGGTCCCATTCGCTGCCCCAGAAAGTATAGATTTTCCTCCTAATTCTAAAAAAAACATTTTTATAAAATTATTTTTTTGAATACCATTTTATCACAATAGTGAGACAGAGTTGGACATAAACTGTAAATCTATGCTTATTCATTTCTTTGTGTTCATTATGTGCTCCAAATGTTATAAAAAAAGGTATTGCATTTCAAGTTCATTCTAAATGTTTTTAATGTTTGTAAATTTCATTGCATACAATATTTTGTCAAAATATAAAATGCATTCCTCCTATAATAGCTTAATAAAATTTGCATTAAAATAAGGAAATTGAAGAGACATAAAAAAACAACAAATATTTTATGGACTAGTTGAATAAATAAACAAATAAATACACAGACACAAGATTTATCTTCAAAATAATAACTTAAATTAACATAAATTTGTCTTTTACTTGTTGGGACACTTGGGTGCTTAAAATGCACAAACTACAGCAGGGGGGCTCTGATACATTATGTAATCCACAAATTCTTGAATATAAGCTATTGCCATTAATTTTGGTAATTAATGATGTTCTCAACTGATTACTTTTAAATTGAGTTTGGTAATTTGTAAAGATCTAATGAATATCCACCTTACAATACCCTGTTATCTTGTTGTTTAAGGGAGCAGGCTTAAAGAAGAATTTATAGCAAAGTTTGATACTTTTATTTGTTTTGAAACAAGATTTATCTTTATTTATCAAACAAGATCATTGGTTTTACAAATATTTGAAAAGCCATAAAATTGTTAAAATTGAAATTATGGTTGGATTCTATATGCCAGCGTAAGGATTATTATTTGATAGTTTATATTTCAAATCATTTTATAAATGACCCTGTGTTTACAATTTTATGACCTTTCAAACACACAAGGACTAATGAAGTGGTGATGTCACAAAACATTTATCAAGATGTCAAAAAAATGAAAAACAGACTAAGCGTGTAGGCCTTTTTTGCTCTCAGCATTTTGGGAATGCCACCAACATTTAGATTGGAAAACAGAATTTTTTTTTAATTTTTGGAATTTTAGAGTTTCTGCTGAACACGTTATGAATAATAGATGATGTCTATAGCCTGTATATTCATATTTTGTTTAAGAAATTCTTTTAGAGTGCCTTTTGAAATGAAAACACCTTTTTAAAGAAAATCACTTGAATATAAAAAAAAATATGCTGATCAACCATATGGAATTTTATAAGTTTCAATTTGGAAAAGAAAAAAAAGAAAAAACCCACTAATTTTTGGCATTGGGAAGAATGTAGTAAGTTACTATGTAAGGGAAAAAAAACTTGGTAGTCAAAATAAATCAACTAACTGCATAGCCTATTTAATCCATTCATCTTTTAGCCTATATTAAACCTCAGTATGCCCATATTTCTCAGCCTGTAATGGTATTTCAGCTTTAATTTATCATTGCTGACCTGGTCATTTATATGGTGATGAATTATTTTACCAACTCATCTCTCAGTTCATTTGGTATGCAACCTAATGAGCATAGATAGAATGTCCTCAGCTACTGTTTAATGAGTGAAAGGTTAAACTTTTCCATTTACAAGTTTCCTGTGGCTCCATATGATATGCCAATTTTACAATCAATTTACCAATTTTTGATTTTCTTGTACTACTGTCAATATATATTACATTTGATTTGTTGATATCTTTAAGGCAATAATTTTGATTTATCATTATTTAAAATTTGACATGTCATATAATTATAATTATCCAAATAATGATTGATCTGAAATTCTGAATTAAACTTGGCCTATTTTCAATGTATGGCCCTTGATTGCTTTTTAGCATTGATTCTTATTTTTCAGCAGCTGAAATCATTTACTTCAATAGCTTTTTGATATGGCAAAATAAATTCTTTAAAGTATTATTGTATATTTGATTGTCCGATGGAAATAAATTATGTTAGATTTAAGGTGAATTTTGCATATTCAAATTACATATACTCAGATTTTTGTCTTCTTGTAAAAGCTACATTATAAATTACAGTGTGATTTTATTTTATTACAATTCTGTTCAAACATTGTTAAATAACTTAGTTGCTCAATAAATGTTATGGTATTTAATGTATATTCAAGAAGCAAACAGCTTTCTTATTGTGGTCAGCTACCATAATATGTTTACAAATAGATGATGAAGTATATCACTTACATTTGATAATTTATCACTATTTTATCTGTGTTAGGAGATGACACTATTTGTTTTGTTGGATCATTGAAATTCTTTTATCACTTAATTTGAAGCTAATGTTGACATTTACTGTTCAAAACTTGCTATCAAAGTTGTAAAACTACCCCTTAGATACAGAATATTGTTGTCTTATTAAAGTTTGGTACATTTGTCAAAAATTCAAATCTTTCATATTAATTTTGTGAAAATTCTTGCTGACTTGTATGGCAGTTCTGTTGTATATTTCAAAGGGGCAGTATTTTTTAACCCATTTTTAAGATGGGTTTCATAAATGGGTCTTTTCCTATTTGCTAGTAATTACTATTTTTCTAAATGTGATTACAAAATTCACAAATTTGTTTTTATGTTCAATATCTGTTTTTTTGTTTTGTTTTTCTTCTTCACAATTAACACAAATTTGTTAATTTACAAATTTGCTAAATTCGATCAGTCAGCCGTATCAGTGATATCTTGCATTACTATTATAAGAAATAATGTTGCTTAAGTTTTAGTGCCCCATTTGCTTTTTATAATCTAAATCATGTTGGATGGAAATTATTTTTTAGCTAGAACTCGAAAAAAGTTTGTTTAGTTACGGTAACTTATAAACCCAGAATACAATACAAACTTTACATGACCTTGACATTTTTGTGCTATCAATGGTGAGAAATGGGAGGAATGTAAACTATTCATATTGACTATTGTTTCAATTCTTATCTGATTAATTGTCTAGTTTTATCTTAATAATTTCAATTAGCAGCTGACATTTTGATATTGAACTAGCCTCTTTAATCAGTGTTATTAAAGGTGGAAGAAATTGATTGGTGTCCAATTGATCCTTATTATTGATTAAAACATGGGACTTGAAGTGTTTATATTTCCAACCAGAAACATTGACATGACATGAAGAACTGTTTAGTTTGCATTTCAAAAAATGAATTTTTAAAAAAATAGAAAAAAAAGAAGATATTTTTTAGTTTTAAATTGGTATCAGCTCCCAGTTGTAGATTAAAAATCTTGAGATTTTATGCATTTTCATCAAGTTTTGCAAAGGGAATAAGAAGTGGTGATAGTTGATAGAGTAGAGGTAGGAGATAATGTAATTTACCATGCCTCAAGAGAATAAAAAGTATTAAATACTTTATAAAAAAGAATATACTTAAACGTAATGCTTTCAGACAGTTTTATTGCTAGCATTACCCCCTTTAAACTAAAGTCCTGTCAAGAGTATGTCCAGATAACACTGTTTAAACAGCAGTGCAAATACTTCACTGAAGTCCCTGTATGATAACAGACCACTTGTAAAACATTGGAATATCTTGAAAATGAGCAAACTTATAAGCTGCCTTTTACTGCAGAATGTTTATTGGTCTTAAATGCAAATTTACTTTGGGCACTTGAATAATTTCATGCTATTGTTCTCCAAGCATTGTGGGTAATTGATTTTAAGACTGGAAATTAATGGCTCTTCTATGTTTTAATTTCAATATTTGCATATTCAAGGCCGGCTTCGTAAATTGAAAGTTGTTTGATTTTTTTGAGATACCAGAATGCTGTTTTAATTGATTCCGTTGCAAGGTTTGTTTCTATTGTTCTGTATAGTGACAGAAACCGGATCTGAATTCAGGAAAGAGCTAATTAAAAAGGAGATAAGCGATTCATTGGCAAACATTGCAACAATACTTTTCACCTGATCGTATTTGCTATAGAAAATTATGGGAAAATTAAATTGTATTTGATTTTTTTTCTGTATTTTGTATTTATGAACTTGTCTTCAATAAAATATTCAAAAATCAACTGAAGTTATCTTGATAAAACATTGATTTATTTATTCAAAGACATCTACTCCATCAAAAAGCTTACTTTGTCTCATAATTTAGTGTGTTATGGTCTTAGGAGAATTGTCATTGCCTTTAATACTGATGATTTAAGGGACATTGTCATTGCCTCAAAATGATTTTACTTTAACCCCATTTACCCTTGTTATAATTTTCTACAGTGTTAAAAGTATGGATTTTTGTTTGTTTAAGTTCATTAGGATTTAAAGCTTTCATAGATTATTAGTAGATTATTAGTTGAGAAAATTAGAGGAAAGTATTTGTTCTCCATTGATCTGCCCCTTAAAACCTGATTGAAAACTAGATTTAATACAACTGAAATATTAATGTTTGTCTCCTCAAATTTCAACTGAATATTTTTGTGTAAATTAAACAACTATAAAGGGTGTTTCATCACAATTTAAATTGTTTTGGAGGTTTGTTTTACCAGTCCATGCATAACCTTGTGTAACAAGGTAAACATTTGGATGATGAACTACATGTTGTAAAATTGTAAAATAAAATGATGTTCATTGGATTTTATGATGTAAGGCCACAATAAAATTCATACATTTTTAGCTCACCTGTCACAAAGTGACAGGGTGAGCTTTTGTGATCGCTTTTCGTCCGGCGTCCGTCATCCGTAAACTTTTACTTTAAATGACATCTCCTCATAAACCACAAGGCCAATTTCATCCAAACTTCACAGGAATGTTCCTTTGGTGGTCACCTTTAAAGATTGTTCAAAGAATTTAATTCCATGCAGAACTCTGGTTGCCATGGCAACCGAAAGAAAAAACTTTAAATATCTTCTTAAAAAAAACCATAAGAGCTAGAGCTTAGATATTTGGCATGAAACATCTTCCAGTGAGTGTCTACCAAGTTTGTTCAAATAAAAGGCCTGGGGTCAAAATTGGCCCCGCCCCGGGGGGTCATGGATTTTCCCAATATGCATATAGTAAAAACTTAAAAAATCTTCTTTTAAAGAACTCAAAGAGCTATGGCTAAGATATTGAGCATCAAACATGTTCTAAAAGGTGTCTACTAAGTTTGTTCAAAGAAAAGCCCTGGGGTCAAAATTGGCCCCGCCCCAGGGGGTCATTGATTTTCCCTATATGCATATAGTTAAAACTTAAAAAAATCTTCTTTTAAAGAACCAAAAGAGTTAGAGCTAAGATATTTAGCATTAAACATGTTCTAATAAGTGTCTACAAAGTTTGTTCAAATAAAAGCCCTTGGGTCAAAATTGACCCCGCCCCGGGGGGTCATTGATTTTCCCTATATATGCATATAGTAAAAACTTAAAAAATCTTCTTTTAAAGAACTCAAAGAGCTATGGTTAAGATATTGAGCATCAAACATGTTCTAATAGGTGTCTACCAAGTTTGTTCAAATAAAAGCCCTGGGGTCAAAATTGGCCCCGCCCCGGGGGTCATTGATTTTCCTTATATGTGTATAGCAAAAACTTAAAAAATCTTTTTTGAAAAAACCCAAATAGCTAGAGTAAAGATATTAAGCATGAAACATCTTTTAGTGAGTGTCTACAAAGTTTGTTCAAATAAAAGACCTGGGGTCAAAATTGGCCCCGCCCCGGGGTCATTGATTTTCCTTATATGTGTATAGCAAAAACTTAAAATCTTCTTTGAAAAAACCCAAATAGCTAGAGTTTAGATATTAAGCATGAGACATATTCTAGTAAGTGTCTACAAAGTTTGTTCAAATAAAAACCCTGGGGTCATAACTGGCCCGGCCCCAGGGGTGTCATTGTTTTTAACTATATGTGTATAGTAAAAACTTAAAAAAAATCTTTTAAATAGCCCAATGAGCTAGAGCTTAGATGTTAAGCATGAAACTTCTTATGGGAGTCTACCAAGTTTGTGCAAATAAAAGCCCTTTGGTTAAATTGGCCCTGCAACGTTTGGGGGGGGGGGGTTTGGGGGGGCCTATATATAGGTGAGCGACCTCAGGGCCATCATGGCCCTCTTGTTTTTATGTTTTCTGATACAATTTTCAATATCTAAATCTGTTTTATAAGTATTTATTAAAGATATGTCTTAAAGGGACTCCACTGAGGTTTTTTGACATAATGGGACTGGAAATAATTTTTGAGATTATTTCTCCATTTGATGTAGATCTATACTAATAACTTATGTGCAAAATTTCAGATCATTAGCTCGCTCCGTTTTTTTTTCCAAAATAATTATTATAATAGTGAAAAATGACCCAAAATTGAAAAGCGTTTAAACGCTTTTTACTCAAATTGGACTTAGAATAGCACAAACATATGATTTTTAATGTATTTCTTGTGTATTTCCTAGTTATATTTTATTTATATTACTGTTTAAAGTGCTCATGTTATCTATAGTATGTGAAAATTAAAATGTTATGTTTAAGGCTTATAAACCTCAGTGGAGTTTTTTTTAACAAAAAATGTATATATATATATATATTTATTTTATTTAAAAATTCAACCAAATTTTTAAAACAGGAATATTCTGGCCCTTCGATACTTAAGTATTAGCAGACAGTGTTAGTGTCAACTCAAGTATTTTTTAAAAAAAGTGAGTATTTGCTGTACTAATGGTGAGTAAAATATCATATTAAGAGATCCATGACATAAAGTTGATGCACCTGTCACTAAGTATTTCATATATTTTCAGCAATATATTTACAAGTAGTCAACCAGATTATACAGATATCAGCAATCTTCCTCAATGTGTTTTTCAACATCTTCCTCTTCTGTCTTCCAGTATCATCAATTCCAAAGGTAAGGAAATGAACTGCAAGGGTTTTCTGTATCTGTTTGCCGGTAACAGTATTTCTAGAAAATAATAAGTGTAATCATGTTAGCTGCTCTGTATAATATTAATTGTAATTGATATTGAATTGGTAAAATGATGTATGTTGAGCTATGAGTTTGGAACAGTCTATTTAAAATTTAAGAGATTTCAGTAACAAATTTAAGCTATCAAACGTATACATAATATCAACAGTGGCTGCATAGCCAAGTGGTTAATTAATGCTTCAGACTAGAAATCTTAGGAACTCTTGCCATTTGGGTTCAAGCTGTTGTTTCTTTGAACAAGAAACATGCAGTCTGATCAGGCTCTGGACTGTGGCTTAGAAACTTTAAATTGTTAATTTTGATATCCCTAAAATTGATAATGGACAGCAAAAAAAATGGAAGCAGAAGAAGTCCATTTAAGAAATTAAGCATACAGAATAATCAGAATGCACAACAAATACAAGAAGCATTTATTTCTAAATAAAGAAAAGTTGAAATTGCCCACCATGGAGCACAAGGGAATATAGTCGAGTAGAAACAGTTTTAAGAAAATATATCTTTGAACTGTCACATATATTATTAAGATTGTTATTTGAAATGTTCATACTAAAATATGTTTTTCCCGTATTTACATTTTGGTATAAACGTATTTATTGCTTCTTTCAGTTGGCTTTTTACCAGTATGCAAAGTGGGCAGTGATAATGTACTAGCAGTTTTAGTGGTAAGACATAAAGATTTTTCCTGTTTGTAATATCATTATTACTTATAAATGTCATGTAAAATTCATTTCTTGTAATGTTTTCTGAACCTATTTATTTATTGATTGCATTTATTTTACAGTATTGTAAATTCTTTGTTTATATCATAACTTCTCTCAACAGAAGATTGAGGATCGACTTATTATACTGAAAAGCCAAAAGGCTGATGTTGAAGAGTTGGTCAGATATAAACAATTCACTCCAAATCTTTTCTAAAATTTCGTGTCACAAAATTTTCATGGCACTTTTAATGACCATATGCATTAATATGTTAAAACATTAAACATCTGTTTTTCAGTAAATCAAGTAATATTAAATGAGTTCTGCATGTTCCTGCATAAATTATCCTCTTCCAGTCTATCAGAGTTTAATATCAAGGCATCACAAAGCATTTACAGAGACCAACTGCAAGGATATGACCCCACAAAAAAGTGTAAAAATGGCTCAAATACTAAAACAAACAAACACCATATTTTACTATTCCTCAAGTTCAGATAAGTTGAGGCATTTGATTTATAAGAACTAGATATTTCTTCACCTCCAAGTTCAATAAGTAATTTTATTAATTTTGAATGGAACTTAATAAAAACTTAAACTGTCATATTCAAGTATTCAATATAGAAACTGTGGTTTAATTAAGAACAAAATTTTAATTATGGTAAATCACAGATAATATTCAACTTCTATCTACCTTGTTCAAGCAGACATAAAAACCAACCCTATTCTATTTCTCTTAAATAATTGCGGATACAACAATCTCTAATTTAATGGGAGTGTGTATGTCTTCTTTACAGCAAATGAAACATGAAAAAAACTCAAGAAATATTATTAATAATATGGGGTTTAATATTACCTTTAATTAAAGCAAGCAGCCATTCTGTAAGAAAATATGCTTGAATTTAACCCTCTAGACAGTTGAAACCAATTCATGTTTCACAGAAAACATTAGCATACAAATGTTGTACAATCTTTTCAAATGGATATGAGTTGTTTTCATGCAGAATCTTTCTGACTAACAGAAACCCCTAAAGGCATATTTTGGCTGTTAGTATTTTTTCCCCTATTTCCCTCTAAAAAATCATTTGGAAGTGATATAAATATTTTGCAAGCGACCAATATATTGAATAAGCTGTGGTGTTTTCAAAATTAGCTGTATCCAGAAACGTGCCTGATATTTGGTTAATATAATTTCTCATCTAAATAGCTATTGACCTTTGTCAAAATGGCAGTAATTGAGCTATTTCCATGCAGAGAAGCCTCTTACAAGTGCTTGCCATTGGACCTCCACGTCACTATTATAAGGAATGTTTTCAGACAACATTGATCAAGGAATGAAATTAATTCCAACAATATTATTGCATTGTCTCGGGCTTACTGGCAGACTTGTTCTGGGAGTATTTTACTAAGCACGTAAAGGCCTCTGTGTAGAGTCTGCATTGAATGTAGTTCGTCTGCTGACTGGCAGTATGATATCACGCATAATTTGGAATATCTTTTATGTATTTTTTTTCTACCAGATTATATCCAAAGAGTATAGATTTTTTTTAACAGTAGACAAATCAGATTTTACGCAATGATAAATTTTTTGCGATTATATAAAAATTTATGAAAATGTAGAATATTTTGGTGTTATAATATTTTTATTGTCAATTCATCATCATTGTAGCTTTTCTCTGTTAAATAAAGTGCAAAGAACAACTGTTAGCTCCACTTTTTGTAAAAAACAAAAAATGGAACTATTGTCATGGCACGCATTAAACTTTTTGGTGAACCTCTTTGAGGGAAAATACTTAAATGCAAATTAGTTTAGTTTTGTTAATCTAGGGTTAAAAAAGAAACAGTACTCGTAATTCTGTATATTGAAATTGTTCTTAAAGTTCAGTAGGTTTATGGTCAGGTCTATGAACTAAAGATAAAGATAAGTACTGGAGCAGAATCCAGGAAAACATAACTGTCAGTTGATTATTTAGAAAAAAAAATGTTTAAAAAGGAAAATGAATGTTAAATTTTTAATGTTTGATAAAAAAAAGAAGAAAAAATGAAAAAGAAAATTACTGCTTAAGCGGCCAATTTCACATGTATATATGTTAAGCATAAATTAATAAAATTGAACATATTCTATCAATGACAGACTTAGTATAAAGCTATTCCAGTGACTAGGTGCTAAATTTCCAAATTTCAGTTTTGGACAGATCCAATATATAAATATAGAGTAACATTGAAACCAGGATTGGAGAAAATTGGTTAATTTCCTGCTAATTAAGCAGTTGTCATTGTTTTTGCAGTATGTTTGCAAGGAAATCAATGAAACAGTTAAAACCAGGCTACATCAAGTCATACAACAGGTAAGCTATTGTCTATAAATGAGTGTGCCATGTTGCATATCCATTATAAAACAAAATTCAAACCATATTCTGTTGCATTAAAGAAATGAGAATTCTTTGCTTCTACCAGGAAATGGAATAAGTTACTTTCTTTAATCAAAAGGTTATCATTGCAAGCAGAAATGTTAACCTCATTTCAATGACATTTTGTTTTTATAGGCTTGAGGTTTTATGTAATATAAATATATTTGATATTAAATAAAGTAGGGGATAAAACTTATGGATCAAACTTGTCTGCAGTTTATGATAAAGAAGTTAAAATATTGTCCTGCAGATACTAAAAGAATAACCTACCTGCATGTTTTAGGACAGCTTTTCTTGAGAGATTTTATAATGCCACTAGAACTATAAGTCTTGGAAATTATGGATTTATACAAAATTTAAAAATTAAGTTCAAATTTAGAAGTATATCATATACTTGATGTTGATGACTAATTTTTAAAACGTAAAGAAGTTTATTTTTGCCAGAATATTTGGGCTATATTAAACAGCCTGGTACCAGTTTGTAGAATGTCACATGACACTAGGGCATGGTCTGACATTGTTGATAAACCAAACTCCTTGTCTTAGTTACTTAGTATCTACACAGCCAACTTAAAATAAAGCTGATGAAGGCTTTGTAACACAGCAAAATTATTCTTTATAATTTATAGTTAATGATGACATCTATGAGTAATGGGAGATACTGTTTTATCTTGGTACTATATTTACCATATTTGTTGTTTTCCTACAGGGACACTCTAAGTTGTGCCTCTTTTTAACTGCATGCATGTGTGCATCACACCTTCATAACACCTTCATAGGCTTTTTGGTTTGAAGTAGTATGAATAATTCTATTGAATTAGTATTCTACATTTGACTGATTCCGGTAATTTGCATTAATGAATAGTAACTTATTCAGTGCATTGTTTTGAGTTAAGTTCAGTCCAATTTAAATACATAATCAGTGTTATATAGCATCCTTCTTAATCTCTTCAAATTAATGTTACCTCTATAAAAACATTTTATATATAAATCATGTTTCAAACAGGTAGCCTTTGGCTGCTCAAGTTATGTGGTAAGATTGTTCTGTCAAGTAAATTCCCAGTGATGAACACTGTTTCAAGTTTCAACTTCATGGGAAATTAACTGTTAATTTCTTTTGAAACACTTCCAAACAAGATTGATGTTTTAACAATGCCTTATTACAGATTCTTTAGTATCTAATCAGCACTGGTGCATTATCTCTATTTCTGGAAATAATCTAATTAAATTAAAGGGTTTTATTGGCAAGGCAAACAGATTATTTTTATTTTTTATTTTGTCAGCAGAAGCATAGCAGTTGAAATACAAGTTGTTTCAACTGGCATGTTATGTTAGGATATTGAATTGTAAATGTACATGTGTTGCCATTTATGTCTAATTTCAAATGAAAAGTTATGAATTTTTTTACTGAATTATTTCCCATTACTTTAGTATAGAGAATAGGTTCTATGACAGCTGTTGTTATGTTATACAAATACATAGAGCTGTATAAAGGTGACCATAGTTCCATTTAACTCATAGCCTGTTTATGGCAACTGTTTCTAATCATGTGACCAGTGCAGACCAAGACCAGCAGGTATGTCAATGCTGTCTGATCATGGTCTGCACTGTTCCCTATTCTGTTGGCACATATTTTGACATTTTCCCTTGAAAATGATGTATGGTTTTGTTCAGATTGAAGAAATAGGCAAGTCTGTTAAAGATTTAGCTTGGTAAGGGTTAAAGTGTTCATTTTATTAAGATGTAAAGATCAACCAGACAGTGAAGAAAAAATGAAATCTGTACCCATTTAAATGTAGAAACTGAGAACTTAACAAAGCTTTTGGCACCAGTATATAGAGCTAGGTGTGTCTGGACATCTTTGCAAACTGACCTATATGTTCTGTATTTGTTAGCTGCCTGATTTTAACAGTTTGATAATCAACTAAAAATGAAAGCCAGACAATTTCATCATACAAATTTAGCATGGAAAGGTGTGGGTGTACTTGTACATTTTGTTGTTTGTTTTGCATTAATCCAATCTATGTAAGAAAAATGTCAAGCTTAATTTTACATGATTTTCTTTTTCATTAATATCTATTTTTACATTCATTGACTTTTGTCTCACCCCCTATGTCGAACAATGAGAAGAGAAAAGGCTATGTTTAACTACTCTGATTCAGAATACGTAATTTAGCAGAAATTGCACGTTATTCAAATGGCACAAAATGTCAGCTTCATTAATGAAAAAAGGGAAGGTATTTTTAACATTCACTACAATCTTGTCTAGAAGATTGTCTTTTTTCAGTGTGTAACCTAAAGCAAAAGAGTACATAAAACAAAGACTTACCAGAAATTGTATTTTTTTTTTTTGCATTTTTTAATTGTCATAAGTAAACAGTATGCTTAAGAAAACCAGCATAACATGTTATTTTTTCTTTATCTTGAAAGCTGGGAAAGTTTCCCACTGTCTGAACGAAGATTCCTCACAACTGGAAATTACTGCCCAATATTTCTGTCTTGCAGTTATGATTAAGGCAAATAACATTAATAAAACTAGTTATGTTTGTTATCAGAATTTTACATGACGTTTAATCAATGGGAGATGGATGAGCTTAGGTGTCTTGTAGTGGAAAATTGAAGACTAGGGTTACACAGGTAAAAAAAAGCTTTTATAAAAAACATTTAACTAAAGTGAAATTTAAAAGTTTCCCAATTAAAATTTCCTTATACCCATATATGGGGTATTAATTTATATTTATAATCATTTGATTTTGTTTTTTATTGTTCTTTGGCCCCTTTCTCTTATTTGAAAATTGAACTGTTCTTTGGGGAATAAAGCTTAGAATGTAACTTCATATGTTACTTCTTTAATTTGTAGAGTAGAGTATAAAGTTACTTTTGTTTGGTAATTGAACAGTTTGTTAATTGAACAGTTCTTATGTAGCAGTTAAGCTCAGAATTAAGAGTTAACCAGTGAGGTGTGGTATATTTTATTTGAAAAATGAATTCATCTGTGTATCAAAGCTTGATATAAGGTGACTATTAGTATTACCTTGAAATTACCTACTTGTACAACCTTATAGCTATTGCAAAAATTCAGTATTGAAGACTTGATTGATTGCAATTAGTTACCATATTTATTAATATAGTATCAGACCTTACTACAATATATTATGCAGTAAAGTTTTGTTGTATATATTTTATATACAAGTATAGAGAACTGATGTTTGCATAGACACAGCTGTTGTCAGCCCTTTAGACTTCACATCCTCCAAACAATCAAATATTTATACCAACTTTAGTGGTGTATGAATACCACTGCATGTCAGGAGACATTGAGAAATAGGCAGAATGATATTAAAGTTACATTGTGAAGGTCATTCAGCATATTACATTGACTGTTTATGCTTTTTTTAGCTTTATTAACTCAATGCCTTAGGCATTGAATTGAGATTCCTTGATATGATTAAGAAATAGCACTTAACAGCTTTAATATTTCATGTCCCCATTGCTTGGGATTCATCTTTCGCCATCTGTTCTCCTGCTGGCATTCTGTCTGTCTGTAGACTTAGAAAACAGTGGACTGCACTAGTGCAGAGGCATCCATGTCCTATATGTGACACATTTTTAGTTTCATCAAACTGAATGGTGAAAATGCATTGATATTTTGGCATTTTATAGAACAACTTAAATTTAAAGACTCCTTTTGTGTGCAGATTATTAAAAAGTCATTTTAGCTCAAGAATAACTCAATTCTGTTTAATTTCAATCAAGATATCATTTTCCAGACTGAATTTTTTCTTGAAGAAGGGAAAATCATTGACATTATGAACAGAACTTTAATACAAAACAGTCTCATTTCAGTAAAATTTTAATGTACACTGTTTATGCTAAGACGTTATGTTTGTCTGATTGCTGTTGATTTTTTCTTGTTCTTGAGTATGTGATAAATGCATTTTTCATGTTTACTGCACATACCTTGAATATTTTCTAATTTGTCATAGCCACATAATTTTCAGCGTGAGCAGTTCCCGTCTGTTCTAGTGACAGTATAAATTGAATGTTTGCGGTATTTCTATGCTTGATTAGAGATTATGCAGCTGATACCAAGCTGGTATAAAATAAATCTATTCTAGCAATACAAAAACAAATCTGTTGTAGCAGTGATATCATATATACATATGAGCCGCGTCATGACAAAACCAACATAATGGGTTTGTGACCAGTATGGATCAAAACCAGCCTGCGCATCCGCGCAGTCTGATCAGGATCCATGATGTTCGCTTACAAACCCTATAACAAGTAGAGAAACTGATAGGGAACAGCATGGATCCTGATCAGACTGCGCGGATGCACAGGCTGGTCTGGATCCATGCTGGTCGCAAACCCATTATGTTGGTTTTGTCATGGCGCGGCTCATATACAATCCTTACCTTCAGATTGACAGTTCCGTATTGATTGTCATTTCGTTCATTAGTGAAGGGAGCAAAAGTTCTTCAGCTATTCATCTCATTGTCAATCTAATAGATACCAATTTAGAACTGTTTGATCACATGAGCATGTATTTCATATTGTTATCTAATTCGATTTTCTTCCGTTTTTGATTGATTGTTGCACGAAATAGACCATTAACCTAAAAAGGCACCAGAGCCTATAGGACAGAATTTGCAGAAAATATGTAATTACTTAATGACAATTCCTTCTGTGCTTGAAGATTTTGACAATCATGTTTTGAATTTTTATTTTTCTTCGGATGTTTTGTCTATATAAGTTGTGGAAATGGCAGTATTTGTTTTCTGTTTCTATTTTAATTTCAAAAATTCCAAGGGATGAAGATTTGATAATTGCATTTAGTATGAAATTTTCTTCTTAGTGTGTATAAAGCTATATGTCTCTGCTGCCTGTTGTTTACAAAATATTTGCTTGAATTTTGAAAAAGAATATTTCCAAAATATTTGCCTGTATGAAAAAAAAAATGTGGAAGGTACATTTCCTTATGTACATACAATTTCTTTCCTTGTTATAGATTTAGCCCAGATAAAGGGTATTATCAGTCATTAAATTTAAGATTTTGAATTTACTGGCCCGAATTCCAGTTTTGAATTCATTCTGTATTATACTGTTACAGTATTAGACTGTATTATTAAAGATTCACAGTGAAGTTATTATTTGACAAAATCTAGTCATGGAGTAGGTGTAATTAACATTTAAGTACAGTTGACTCTCAATAAGTCAAACTCGCTTTACTTGAAATTCCGCGTTAGTCGAAGAATTTCTAAAGTCCCGTCAAATTTCCTTCTTTATCTTTGTATTTTAACTCCGCTTAGGTCAAATTTTGACTTACCGAGACTCCTGTTTAGTCGAAAAGAAAATTTTGACCCGTCAATTAAAGTCCAACGTATTTTCATCTCAATTAGTCGAAGTGTGAAATCAGCCGACTGATCAAAGGTCGGAGACATCAAAGTGAGATGTTGTCACTCATGATTAACACGTTCCATAGAAATTTTAAATTTACGGTCATCATATATTATCAACACGTCGTATAAATGGCTTTAATCCGTTTCAGCACTTAATTGGTTTTAACAGTTAGATAACTAAATTAAAATTTGATTACATTTCTTTAAGAAAGTTGACTCGTGCCAGTCTGACGGGTGTTAGTCAAATAACAGCCTAGGTATTGATGTGTGTTATCAACGTAAATGACATTTGTATAATTAATGTTCCGTCATTTTGCATACATTAATTTGTACTTCCGGTTCACGATAGTTGCTACTTTCGTTTTCGTCCGATGATCAATTAAATCAAATATAATTGTGTGTTTCATACATGTGACATCCCGGCGGGATTTGGAAAAAATCCCGATATTTCAACACTGATCCCGATTCCCGATATTACAGCTTGAATTCCCGATATTAAAAAAAAATCAACATAAAAAAAAATCAAACACAGCACCTGTATCTAAAATGTAAACCGTGCCTCCGGGCATTGATTGTTATCTGTCCATATCCTAAATTATAGCGGATTAAATGTTGAGTCGCTAATTGACAGCAAGGTGACGTAATAAACAGTTTCAATACCCAAAGTTATTCTCACATGTTTAACTTAACACGTGTCGTGTGTCAGTCAATTGACCTCTTTTGTAATTTGGCAGTAGGTATTACACGCTACGTCATCAAAACTACCCTGTAAATTTACAAGTATGAATTCGGCTCAACCTTTGATTTTCTTTGATTAGTGCCGCACTGATAAAGATAAAAGGTGAGCAGAATCATTTAAAGTGGATCATTCAAAAACCTGTTTGAGATGTCTATAATTAACCTTTTTTTAGTCAGTGGGTAATTTTTTTGTTTTGTTTAGGAATTACACAATCATCAAGGTAAAAATGTGGATTTAATTAACGGAACGATTCTTGCATTTATTTTGAGTCTTCTACTTATGTTACGTTATTTAACTGTCAGAGTCTTATGTTCATGAATAGTTGTTGCACGTTTTCAAATAGCTTGTGTTTTAAATTATTAGCAAATTATTAGCCAATTATTATAATTCTTCAAACTGAAAATAATGACATGTGAAAATGTGACTGTTTTAGAAATAGCCTGTATGACTACACTTATTTATTTATTTATCTATTTATTTATTTTTTGGTGAAATAAATTAATATTGATCAACAAGAAAATCATAAAAAGTAGAATCCTTTAATGATTTTGAGGGTAATATAGATTCTTTGAACCAAATGTGCCAAAAACGCATTGAAATTCGAGTCGATAAAAAAATCCAGTTTTTAGCCTCAAAATCCAGCTGAAAATCCAGTTTTGGCCCATTTCATTTGTCACATGTATGGTGTTTATGTTTCACTATTAATATACATGTATTAAATTTTGAATGATATATTTTTGTTTATTTATAATTCGTAGTTGTTAGTGATTTAACGTCATTTCAACGGTTAAATATTGCAGCATTGCCGCTAACAACAATAACAAACCTACTTCTTTGCACATTTAATCAGGCACATGTATATACATGTACGAATGTCAGCGTAATGGCGACAGTTCCACGTTACTCGAATTCCGTTTCTCTCGAAGTAAAATGCCCAGTCCCTTGGATTTCGAGTTACCGAGAGTCAACTGTATATCATATACAATGAATTTATATGCAATATAAGTCTTAAGTGTGAAGATGGAATTTTTACAAGGAAATGTAAGAACTGTTAAATCAGTCTGGCTTTGAAGACATAATGAGAGTGAATGTCTGTAAACTTGTGAGACTATCAACTAAGTAAAACAAATGCTAACGATTACTTGACACTGTCATACCACTTGTCTGGTCCAGTCCAGACTACATAATGTAAATGGGTTTGATTTTTTTTTCTTGTGGGTTTACATAATTATTATGACGAAATAAAATGTCTATGTTTAAAGTAAGATGAAATTAATGTACTATTTCTACTTTAAATAGTGTGATACTATTTACAAATTCTACACTAAGTTTTTTATTAGCTGACAGTACATGCAGTTAAAAGTACTGTGGTTGGAATTATAACTTAAAAAATTGATGCACTCTTAGTATGAAATTGGTCATGAGCATTTCAAAACATCAATAACTTACTACTTACTACAATGGGGAAATGTTTTTTTTTCCTGTCACTTTGAATAATTCCACATTCGGTAGGTAAGATTGATGTTTTGGTGGATATCCAACCTATTGTCAGGCAATAGATTTACAATTTACAGTCCTCTCTTGAACCCATTGATTAACAGATGTTGTAATTTTGCCAGTAATAGACAGACATCTTTAAATTAGTTTACAGTACTCAATTTTAGTCTTCACTGGTTTTCTGATCTTTGAAGGAAATGTTCTGGTTTTAACAAAGTCTTTTTTTAGATTCAGATTGGTGCCCATTTAGTAAAAGAATACAAATTATTCATATATTTGAGTGTTTTTCTGATAGTAATCATATTCATTTAAGAACATAAAATAGTTGTATTTTGAGTTGTGGTCTTATTAGGGGCTGAAAATGTATCAAGATGTTTTTTATGATGTCTTGGTTGTATCATGCACGATACATTAAGACAAGATGATTTGAATGCAGTTTGTAATGTTCAAGTCTTTCCAAGTTAATATTCACAATACCATAGTTCTGTTTTATATTTGATTATTTTGTACCTAAGTAACTAGATCTTTGGCCAAAATATGAAACTGTTTTAGCTTTTGAGAAAAATTGAACTGTTTTGACATGTTTCTTAACAGAAGTCACAGGTTATATGATTTTACACATGGGAAAACAACTTACAAGTCATGTATTAGTTTTTCCACTTTAAAAATTTCTCAAAGTCTCGTAATGTATAATAGTAACATTTAGAGTGTTGTCAGATGAATTTATAAAGATAAGGAGTAAATTGTTTTGTTAAGTTTAATTAAATTATTGAAAGAAAGTCAATAAAATAAGTCAATATTAAAATATGGTTCTACCTCATAAATTATATATCTTTATATAATCAAAAGAAAGTAACTATAAATAAAGGGACTGTAATAATATACAGTATTTCTTTCATGTTAACCAAGTCTATAAGTACATATATGATACAATAAAGAAGCAACATAATATTATGTATTAGGTCACATGCCATTTTATATTCTTTATACTGTCTGTCTGCTGCTGATAAAGTTCCCAGTTTTGACAGAGGTCACTCGGTATGATATTCTGAATAACTTATTACAGTGTGTACAATTTATCAATAAAATATATCATTTGGTTCCTAAGAGGAGTAGAAAACACTAATTGCTTCAGCTTCTAAGTCATCATTTGTTTCTTCAAAAATCATTGTTTTGAAGGAAGCTAAAAATTTCTATCCTGAACATTTGGCAACAGTACTAATATTTTTGTCCATTCTTGAACTTGGTTTTAACTTGAAGATTATTATTCTAGTCAGGCCAATAATTCGCCCTCTGACATCAGTACATTTACGTATATGCTCTTGTTTTAAGAATGTGTGACTATCTAGGAATAAATCTCAATTATTTGAGCTCACGATTGTTTACTATTCTTGTCATGGATATAATTTGATTCCCCCCCTCCTCCTTTTGATTGTCCTAGGACACTTAATGACCTTTTATTCATCTTTGTATTTTTGGGAAGATTTTAAGTTGTGATTTGGCTTACAATTATGGCCAATTTGTTTCCCAGTTTTTTATGGAAAAGGTTTTGGATAATAATCATAATATATAGGTTGTTTTAACTTTTTATGTTTGTGTTGGCTTAATGACACAAAGTAATAGTGAATAGGTCATCTGTTCTGGTCAGAAATGCACATCATTGCATTATTTGCTTGACATATTTTAAGGAAGTTCATGAGGTGTTGCACTTTCACTTATACTTCTTCTTATACTTCTTTTGCTCTATTTTCTTTATAAGTTGTCAATTTTGTTGGTTTTGAAACATATTGAAGTTTTTTTTTCGCCATACATTTTGATTGACATAAAAATGACATGAAATTGTTGCTTTCTGATTGGATAAGATTGACTTGATACAAGAATATATGATCTTATCTATAATGTATGATTCCCCCATGATTCCTCTGTAATGTCAAGGACATAAACATTATGTACAACCTCTTCATAATTGAAATGAATGTTAATAATATAGTTTAATAATTAATTACAAAGCAGTCCCTGAAGATTTATTCTTCAGAAATGTTGTCCTTCAATTAAATATTCCTTTTTATGTGTTTTCTGTAGACAATGGGAGTTCAATTTTCATTAATACAAATTGTCAGAGGAGTATAGAAATTCTTATAGAACCTTAGGTACCCCTGGTGAGGATTATTGACATTGGTGTCTCTTGTTGTCACTTAATTAATAATAGTTCAGTGTCATAAATTTTTTATATCGTTCTTAAAGGCTGTACAAATAGATATGGTTGAAATTAAAGTTGAAAGGTATTTTAAAGTAAGATTTTCTTCAAGTACTGGTATGTATTGAAATAAGCTATAAAATTCTTGCTATAGTTTAGTCTACTTTTCATTATATCATATCCCCCCATTACCATAGCCCCATAGGGTTATGGGAAGTGGGGTAATGGGAAAAAGGCATGCAGTAAGAAAGAAAAACACAAGAAAGACCTTTAGTTCAATTTATATCATAGACGGCTGTGGGTTATAAACACATATACATGTATTAGGTTAACAGAAATATAAATGCACACACTAATGAATATATTATTTAAATGTTTCAAAATTCACAGTCTCTCTCGCTCCAAAGGTCTGTAAATTAATCTAGAAAAAAAGAAAAGAGGAATGGACACACTACATTCCAATCAGGAAATGTTACTGGGGACACTGGGTCCTCTGTGTATCATATTTAATTGATTTTGGGTTGATTGGTGAAGTGCAAGCACTGCTCACAATGATATATATGCCAGAGGATGGGTATTGATTTTGTCAGGAGACTGTGACAAAGTGATTATTCTAGTAGACAATTTCCGCATCTCGGACAACGTTTGTATTGAAGTGATTTCGTTTGACTGATTGCTTTTTACCATTTCGCATGCAACAAAAACATTACTGCCACAGATGATGTGGTTCTGTCACTGAAATATGAATTCTGCCATTTGATTTTACATTTTCACTTCTGTTTGCGATTTTTTCAGTCTCTCTTATGTAAAATTTTGACGGAACAGAAATATTTTATCAGAAGTCGACTAAAACTTCTTCTTGCTCCTTTTTGGGTCAATAGGAGGAAAAACAAAAATCTTATTTCAAAATTAATGAAGTTGTGAATTTGAGTAAAATATTTATATTTTATGAAGTCTTGATTTAAAACTGTACATGACACTTTATTTATACTTTGCATAACATAAACACATTATGCAAATATGAAATGGGGGACCCTGAGCCCATTTTTGAGTTATCTGCTGTTGAATTTTGAATTATTTGTAAGTTTAGGTCATTTCAAGGGCAAAAAACTTTTATGTAAGACTAAAAATTCAGATTTTTACAAATAGTGAATAATTTTCATTTTATTCTTAACACAATACAAAATTTTAAGGAATTCCATTAAATATTTGTGTTCCATATTGAAGAGAATTTAGGCCATTTTTGAGGAAATTAAGCTAGGTTTAGGTAAAGAAGTAAAAATAAAATCTTTATCAATTTAGGTCCAAAAGCCCTAAAAACATAAAATTTGAATTACTTACATAAATCATTTGGGGCACTTAAAGAACAGAAAATGTTATATTTGATAAGCAGAGGTCATACTTAAAACATAATGCAATTAAGGAAGTAACTAACTCAGGGTACTAGCTTGATCACCAAAATAATACTAACCGAAATCAGCATATTGTATAATGGAAGCACAGCACATTGTGCTGTCAATTGCATGTTAAAACGTTGCTCCCTAGAACAAAAAATGAGACAGTTTTCTGCACTGAAATCAATAATTGATTAATGTTAGTATAGATTCAATACTTTTGTAACAATTTTGATTGCCTTGTTCGTATTGACTGCCCTGTAATACATTTATATAATCACTATTATCTTTCCACCGTAAAACATTGAAGTGCAATTACTTAAGGTATGTAAAGAAGTTGCTGTAATAAGTTGTGTTCCCAGTGCCACAGGCATGTAAATCAATAGAAAGTTAGTCAATTACTGCCCATGTTACCTCCCAGTGAAAAATCCATTAGATTTTATGTCCATTAAACTCCAGTCATTCTTATTTCACCTGCTATAATTATGTACGGAAATCATTTAGGTGTGAACCAACATCTGATAAAAGGAATTAAGTCAAGATTTGTATGGAATCAATTTACAGAAAATCTGATTTGCCTGTTATTGTAATTAATGAAATATATATTCCCAGACTGCAGATTACGTTGTGAAGTTTTGCTGTCTGTTCCACAGTTATGCAGGTTCAAAGATTTACTTCAATTTTTTTTAGAATATGGAATATTGGAGCTTAATATGTTGTTAAGGTCAAAGAAAAGATATTGAAAAAAATATTATTGATCAATACCCAGGTTTCATTAACTTTTTTTTCCTTAAAAAAGAGATGTGAAATCATTTAAGTTGAATGCGTGGCTGGGAAAACTAGGTGATAAATTCTCGTGTATTATTGTACCTTGGATTGTTATCATTTAAAAGTTGGATTATATGTTGTAATGTTAACTGTGTAAGGTTGTTGTGAAAGACAGATAAGTAAAATACAAGATGTATGCGACCTTGCTAATTATGCACCAGTGCTTTGATGATGCATGTTGATACAACCAGAGAAACAAAAGGACCACAGTAAAGCCTTAGCTGCAGGGACTCAGTTGTCAGAAGTCATTCTACCTAATTTTTCAACAACAAGGAAGGATATTAGGATTAGTGAGCCCCTAATAAGTGAGGGTCAGGTTGAAAGGCAGGCCCTTAACTGGCATTATTACATCATATCCCTTATCAGGGTTACCTCACCTCACCTTCAAATATTGTTAAGAGTATCAAAAGAGAAAAAGAGACTCTAAAATGATTTCCAATGATTTGTAAATGATATCTTTACCTGTAGTCTTGTGCTTTTAATTCTTTGATCAGAATAGTAATGTTTAAATTATTTTTAACTTTAAAGTTTATTCCATGATTATAAGTTACTGTCGAAGAGAAATTTAATCAGCTTTTCTAGCTTTAACTTTTTTCTCTTTAAATTCTTATTAAATCAGCCATTAATAGCAGAATGATTGCCATAAATTTTCATGCAGTCATTTTTTTAGCTATGCCAATTAAGAGGTGGTGTTTCTGTAATTGATAAGTCAGTCTATAGATTGATGGAAGCTTCTTACATCTGCAGTCTAGAAAACTTAACAGTGCCATTGATCCTAGTTGACAGGCATTACTGTCCTGTACTATATAGCAATTATTTACAAAAAAATATAGTGTCTGCGAGAAAGTGAGACCTATAATGCTGTAATTATTGCCTGAATTGACAGGTTTTTGAAGCATTCTTCCTGCCGGTTGAAGGGACATCATTAGCAGACAAACACTTAGGCTTGTTAGGCCTATTGTGAATGCATCCAAAACTCAACTTGTCGCATATCTGCTGTGGAGAGAAAAGTTCAGTGAAATAAAAAGAAATATCCAGGAAATTTACAATCAGTAGATATGACAGGTTTTTCAATCGTTAACAAGTCATGTAGCATGTTAATACAGATAAAAGCTGTTATTTAATTATTCTGTTAGAGGTGTATACTTGTGCTATCGTCATTGAGTTCTGACTTTTTATTTTAAGCTATAATCGGAAACTGAAGTTTTATAGACTTCGAGATAACTGAATTAACCATGCACGTTATAGACAAACTATTTACTGTTTGTAAGGTATCATAAAAATAACAAGGAATTTATTCTTTCGTAATTCTGTTTATGTAAAGTTTACATGTGGAGGGATTTCCAGAAATAGTGATGAAGTGACTGGGATCGTTTCAGATGCATTTAATGGCATGAAAATAAGCATGTGTGTAAGTGTGTTGTTTCTCAGGATGAATTGATTCTGTATTTGCAGAAAGATGCTTAAATATTTATCTAGTGTCAACTTACAACAGGTAGCAGGGAGAAAATGGAGGCAATTTAAATCTAGAGACAATGTTTTCATAAAGCATTAGCAAAATTGGATTGTTACGAGCAAGACCACCGATTGTGGTGAAAGAAATCTAATTTAGCCATGTTAATGGTGCGGTGATAATTCGGAAATACTGAAGTTAGACTTGTAGGGAAAAAAAATTGAATTACCAAAGTAAGACTTCTGGTTGTTCTTGTTTGTGCGGAGTTTTATTATTCTGTTTGTACTTGCTGCTTCTGTTATTACGCCAAGAGGTGCAATCTTGAAAAAGGAACATGGAACAGTCGCGAAAAATGGTAAGTCCTTTATAATTAGTTTCTGTAAATTGATTCCTCGGAGCATCGATCAATACGGTTTTTACTTCAGTGAAAAGATAGATATAAAACTTAAAAAGTTCTATGATTTAGATATCATGTACATCATGGTTTTCATCACTTAGATTGTATGAAACATTTAAAACAAGACTTTGTTTATTTAAAGATTGTATATCCAGAAGTTGATAATAACTTCAATGTAAAGTGAAAGACTAGCTCGTTAAAGATACAGATATTAAAGTTTACAGTGATAACAATTAACAGTTTTTTTTCTATAATGTTGATAAATGTTAAGATAATACAAGATTTCATGAGATGTTTTAGAATATCTGATTTGTTTTACTGGATAACTCACTGTGACCTTGTGACATTTTATAAGTGAACATAATCAATCATAATAACAATGATGTTATTATGTTGGCCTCCCATTATCTGTTTTAATGCTGATGTGTTTTGTTTGGCTGATTTTATAGTGATTGTTTGGTCATATTCACAATGTTTTCATCTTCTTCAACAAAAATACTCAGTTGAAACAGCTTGTAATATGTAAGAGGTGGTTATTTAAAATGCATGAACTGTTTTCATCCATCATAGATAAGGACAGATTGTTGTTTGAATCAATCTAGGTTACAACCACCCACATATAAATTTCCAATCTTCAGCAGCAAAGGTTGCAAAGCTGTCTGCAAAAGCTTTCCATGGGCCAGTTGTGTCCTAAAATAAGTTTGACTGATTGTGTGCAGTTTCAGAACTATTTTGGAAATTAGGAATTTGAAACAATGTTCCATTGCAGTTTTGTTTAACAAATAGTAATATTTAATGAAGTTCATCATTTATACACTATGTGTTCAATCTAAATTGGGAATACATTCATTCTGTTCTATTGTACCTTTAAATCATGTCTATTTAACTTAACTGGTAATTTTGAAAGGCCTAGAGTGGCTACATGATCTTCAGATGTTCAGGATAACCTGTATGGTTAATTACCTGGCTTGAACTTTAAGTAATCAGGCTAGAGCCATATATCCTACTGTTGGTTGACCAAACTTAAAATTTTTCATCTTCAGTTATCCCCAAAAATTGATAATGGATAGTTGAAAGAATGGAAGTTGGATTTATGAAAAACCACATGTTATAATCTTGGCTATGCTTGAAAATCTATGTAAAAAGCTGATATGATGTTTATTTATATGTTTATATTCTTCTGGTGATAGCTGTTTATTAACTTTCCCTTTGAACTAAGAATTTTACTTGGCTCATTTACAAGTTAAGTAGAGGCATGTCAGAAGAGGCATTATACACAATAATAAATATTCATAATCATTTTATGACTGAGAATAATGTTTGACAGATCAAAGAACCCCTTCTTTCTCTTTATGTCTTTCAAGATGTTCTTTATGAAATTAACAGAATGCAGTTCTATTATAACGTTTATGAAAAACAGAATCTAGACTAGAAAGTAATTCTGTTTTATGCTTGATATTGAAGGGATGTTTCCAGAGATAAAGCTTTTATTTACATTAACCCCAACAAAGGTTTTGTATGATTTAAATGAATAAGTTTAAAGTTACTTGTTTAGAAATAACATATATTAACACAGTCCTCCAACAGGATCAAAAAACAATTTCAAATGAGTCAATTAAATTTTAACCCATAACCTGTTTAAACAGACTTGTAGAGTTTCCATTTATAGAATGGTCGATCATCAGTTTTGGGGATATCAAAATATTCATCAAACAGTATAGATCTTTCTAATCACTCTGCATAGATAAGCAAGCTGTCATGTGGGCAAAGGCTAGCCACTTTTGTTTTCAGCTGTTACATAATTTTGACATACAAATTTATCACATTCAGTTTTTATTTCATTATTATATCTTTGTATCATATGAGTACAATGATATTTGATTGCAAATCAAATGAGATCAGTCCTCAAATTAATTACATTCAAATTGGAACTTTCTTTCTTGAGATTTATTATATTTGATATTTATATCATTTCTAAGTAATTTGCTTTTACAGTAACCAACAAGTAAAGTGAAAGGTCATTTATAAGTGAATTATGTCTAAAATAGATACATGATGATCAAGATACTGCTGTGACTTTCATTGATGACTGTAGAAATATGGTCAGTAGATAATGTAATTAGATACAGTGCCAGTGAAGGATTGCCCAGTGTGTAAAAATGCTAATAGATACTGTTTTCATTAAGAGGTTGCATGCGGAAGAGTTTCTCAATATTTATTTATTGGTGTTCCTAATGCTCTCTATTGAAAAAAAAGACGGTTACTTTTTGGTGAATTTTGTTTTTGAAAGCTGCAAATCATATTGATCTGAATTTATCAAATATGAGATAGAAAACCTTTTTTCTAAGTTTGGAGTTAAAGTTGGTTATGGTCTCAGGGCCTAAAAACCCTTCTTTGTGGAGGCCAAATATAGGCTGCTTCCCCAACCAAACTATAGCCTCTTTTTTTTCCCAGTTTTGTCCTCAAAATTCCCAAGTCTTAAAATTTCCCGTAGAATTTAGAAAAAAATTAAATGATGGTGTTGAATTAAGGTCTTTTACTGCCTTATTTGTATTTCCCAGTGCATTTTGCTGGTCTATTTTGAAGAACTTGTTTAAAGTTTGTGTTAAATTTGAGACCCCTTTTCCCAAAGTATGCCAAAATCACGCATTTTTTCCCCAAGATAAAGGCTGAGGCCCCTTCCCAAAAATTGGTGTTTTGGCCCTGGGTCTAAATGGAATCTAAAAATGTAAGCTTTCCTTATCTATCTATCACATAGTTCTCAACATAGTTAAAGCCTAGCTTTGCTGGCACCTCTTGGCAACCAGTGCCTTGATATCTGCTATTGAAAACACCATTTAGAAATACTAGGAATTTGTGTCAAAATTTATATATCATATGATAATTTCACCTTGATGCTGTATAGAACAATAATTGCCTAGTAGGAAGTGATCTTAATTTCAATTATATTTATGTATTAAGGAAGCGGTTAAATAGGTGTCACATGCCAGGATAATATCCTGTGGCAGTAAGGTCTCATTCAAATTATTGGAAAATACATAATCAATTAATGTCTAATTAGAATCTTGTCGATGTTGAATAGTGCTATAGATTTCTACAACAATTTTCTACTTGAGCATCAATGTTGATTGAGATTTCAGGTTTGATTATAATGTAGCTTATAGAAAAAGAGTTAAAGTTAGAAATAAATCAAGATACTTTTTTCATGACCCAAGGTCTTATATATCGGCCTTAAGTGAGTTCTTGTTCTAGATATAACAATATTGTATTCAAGAAGTCTTGCATGAAAGATATGAAGCTGATGTCACTTGAAATACAGTTGGTCTGCAGAAGAACTGCAGTAGAAACTAAATTAGTATGTTTCATGTTCATGTATTTAGAAGAATGTAGGGTGATTACAAAAAACTAATATCAACAACAGTAAAAAGATATTTAGAAAAGGAATTTGAAAGATCAAACCCAACTTATTATTAAATACTTTGATGCCAGGTTGAAATAAATAAACTTGTATTTGAATTTATACAACTACTTGAGCTCAGTACTAGCTATAATGCATTATGAATACAAAGAAGTTTGA